AGTATCAGCAAGGTGCTCTAGAGGTAAGACTGGACACGCTCGGCCCAGAACATGTTAATGTTGCAATAAGCTACAAAAACTTAGCTTCAATTTACCAAGACTTAGGTGACTTCGAGCAAGCCAAGGAGTATCAGCAACGTGCTCTAGAGATCGATCTGGACAAGCTCGGCCCAGAACATGTTAATGTTGCAACAAGCTACTTCAACTTAGCTTCAATTTACAGACACTTAGATGACTTCGAGCAAGCCAAGGAGTATCAGCAACGTGCTCTAGAGATCCAACTGGACAAGCTCGGCCCAGAACATGTTAATGTTGCAACAAGCTTCAATAACTTTGCCTTAATTTACCAAGACCTAGGTGACTTTGAGCAAGCCAAGGAGTATCAGCAACGTGCTCTAGAGATCCAACTGGACAAGCTCGGCCCAGAACATGTTTATGTTGCAACAAGCTACAAAAACTTAGCTTCAATTTACCAAGACTTAGGTGACTTCGAGCAAGCCAAGGAGTATCAGCAACGTGCTCTAGAGATCCAACTGGACAAGCTCGGCCCAGAACATGTTAATGTTGCAACAAGCTTCAATAACTTTGCCTTAATTTACAAAGCCTTAGGTGACTTCGAGCAAGCCAAGGAGTATCAGCAACGTGCTCTAGAGATCCAACTGGATAAGCTCGGCCCAGAACATGTTTATGTTGCAACAAGCTACAAAAACTTATCTTCAATTTACCGAGACTTAGGTGACTTCGAGCAAGCCAAGGAGTATCAGCAACGTGCTCTAGAGATCGAACTGGACAAGCTCGGCCCAGAACCTGGTAATGATGCAACCAGCTACCAAAACTAATCTTTAATTTACAAAGCCTTAAGTGACTTCGAGGAAGGCAAGGAGTATCAGCAAGGTGCTCTAGAGGTAAGACTGGACACGCTCGGCCCAGAACATGTTAATGTTGCAATAAGCTACCACAACTTTGCCTTAATTTACCAAGACTTTGGTGACTTCGAGCGAGGCAAGGAGTATCAGCAACGTGCTGTGGAGATCCAATGGACAATCTCAGCCCAGAACATGTTAATGTTGCAGCAAGCTACCACAACTTAGCTTCACTTTACCAAGCCTTATGTGACCTCGAGCAAGCCAAGGAGTATAAGCAACGAGCTCTAGCGATGCAACTTGAAAAGCTCGGCCCAGAACATGTTAATGTTGCAGGAAGCTACCACAACTTTGCTTCAATTTACTACGCGTTAGGTGACTTGGAGCAGGCCAAGGAGTGTCAGCAATGCGCTGCCATGCTGTTAGAGAAGCTCTTTTGAACGA